CCACTATCCACATTGATTTCTTGGGATAGCATCATAGCTGTGCTTACAGGTTCACATCGGCGAAGAGACTCACAAGACATAAATATGCTTTAGTCCAACGCAAGTTTTCTCAACTTCGGCAGCGTATGCCCTTTACGCAGTTTCTCCCAATGGTAACATCTTGCATAACTATAGTACAATATTACAGTCAGGATACAGAACATTTCCATCACTACATGTGTCCCTCACATGGCCCTTTTTATAAGTGCTATTTTCTCTTTAAAAAAGTGCTGCAAATGGATAAGAATTACGTTTTTTCAAAAGTGCTGGATGCCCTGCCTTGGTAACTGCTCAAATTTGCTATTTGGAATTCTAGGCTATTAGAAACTTTGGTTTGAGTATTTGGTTGATTCTTAAGTAAACCATCAAGTTTGGACTGAATGGTTCCAATATGCGTCTTCTGTAAGCACTTCCGAATGCATTTGTGACCAGGAGACACCTATTAGCTTCATCACACAGCGTGTGTAGATCCTGGGAGTCAGCGGGCTAGTCAAGGAATTGGCAAGCATCGACTGAGCGGGTAATGTCAGAAATCTCGGTTTTTGTCATTGGGCGCTCACAGGTGTGAGGGGAGGGGGCACATTGCCATAGGCTGGTGCAGTTAGAGTCGGTGGGGAAGGAAGGAGAAACACAGACTGGATCGTGAAAAAAATGAACTGGGTTTGAATGAGAAAAGGGCAGCCAGGTACTAAGGGACCTGCAGTGCAGTCTAATCGCTGTCTTAAGGTGTTCGAGGCAGATCCAGATTGATGTTTATATAGTCTTGGTGCCCTTGAGAAGAAAAGGAATACAAGATCTCTGAAAAGTTTCACAAAAGCATATGACCTTGTGAACACATTGCCAGGGCCCCTCCTAGGTCCTAGAGCAGCCTGCGCAAGTGAGGGGTAAGTGAAGCCTCTTTGGCTTCACAGCAGATCCGTCTGTATCCCATCTCGGAGTTTGGTGGCACTGGGCCTCCTCAGCGCCAGGCATGGGCAGGGCGAGGGGGAGCCTCAGGACCTGAGATGGTCATCTGGTCATCCACTGGCCTTTAGGGAGTTCGTAGTCTATGCAGGATGAGGGGCAGGGGGAGGGCGATAGGCATTTAGCAAATATTTTCTTGAGCGTCTACTGTATACCAAGCTATGTGCTACATGCTCATAAATAAAATGGACACAGTCCCCTCTTCAAAGAGCCCAGAGTCTGGGCATGGTGGTATTTGAGAAGAGAACAAAATCCAGAAGAAAACAGGGCCAGGTTTGACTACCAGCACTTTTTCCTTCTAGCTGGGTGACCTCAATTGGATACGTTACTTCTCCTCAAGAGGAAGCCACTTAGCTTGTCTCAAAACAGGGTGGAAAATGTGGCACACAGGTTTGGGGTGACACTCAGACACTATGCCTTCTGAGCCTGACCCGTGGCAGCAGTCTGGGTTCTCTTTCTTTTCTGCTGCTTTCAAGGTGCCAACAGCCCCATGTGACAGGCCAAAGAGTGATCACGGTGTCATGATGCAGAAAGCACAAAACCTCAGGCACCGTGAGAGCACTTATGCGTAGCTGACACTGTCTTACCGGTTACCTGTCTTTCATCATGAAAACTTGAGCTCCATGATGATGAACGAAGGGCCTTTCCTGTTTTGTTCGTCACTATATCCTCAGCACCTAGAGTAGGGCCTGATGTGTAGGTGGCACTCAATAAATATCTGTTGAATGAGTGAATAGAAGAAGCATACTTGGTGGCTTCCATTTATAATAGTTTGACATGTTTGTCATAGGTGTATTTTGTTTACTTACGGCTCGTTTTCCTTGGATATTGGTGCCTGTGACAGTTTTTCTCAACCTTGGCGCTATTGACATTTGGTGCCAGGTAATTCTTTTTTGTGAGGGGCTGTCCCCTACATTGTAGGGTGTTTGGCAGCATCCCTGGCCTTGACCCACTAGAGGCCTGTAAACACTTCCTGCCCCCAGTTTGACAAACGGAAAATGTCTCCAGATATTGCCAGATGCCCCCTGGGGACAGAGTCACCCTAGGTGAAAACCACTGGGCCATGCAGTAGTGTTAGGCATGGTGAAAAGGAACCTCTCCAAGTCTCAGGGTCAGAATGGATTATAAAGGTCACTGATTGTCCCTGCTGACGCTATCCACTTACAATTGTCTGAGCCCATCCAGCTGCACCCACCTCCTCTGATGTATTCTTGGTGGCAACAAAGGAGCCAGCCCTCAGTGTTCCCTCTGACTCACACAGTGACAGAACCATTCTGAGCACAAGTGTACGTTAAGCCGATGGCCAACATGCCTGTTTGTAGACACCGTCCTTAGAATCTGGGAAGTAACAACGTATCAAAAAGACCGAGGAACTGGGGTGGCTTGGTTGTATCTTGCGCCGCCTGTTCACCACACAGACACCCTGCCCTCCTATTGCTTCTCTTTCTTCCCTTCATATTTATTGATCTCAGTCATCTCCCTGGCCCTTCCAGAACCATTTTGGAAAGGGAAGGCAGGAAAGAAGAAAGAGGAAGAGAAGAAAAAGGAAAAAGGAGGAGGTAAGAAGAATGTGAGCATGATACCACCGAAAGAGACACCTGGAATAATTAATTAGCCTTTACATTGTTGGACTACCATAGAGTTGGGTCCAGTTCAGCCCCAAAATAATGTTAGAATGGTTCTGCCACTGTCTACAGATGGGCTTTTAAAAAATATATGCATAAAGAAATCTATTTGAAGGCATCTGGAAGATGAACCTCAGATTCTCTCAGAAGGATAGATCATCGGTGCGGGGCAGCCTCTTTTGACAGAGTAGAATAGGAAATGTACTAGAATGATTTCGAATAAAGCATTTGAGTTTGGAAGCAGGAAGAACACATTCTCTGCCGTGTCTAAACCACATGAGAATCTCTGAGACATGCGTCTGTAACAGCTTGCCTCTCACACCTTAGTCTGAATCAGTCATTTGCCATCCCATTTCACTGGCTATCGCACATCTCCAGGCCTGGGGTTAAACTTTCTCCATGTAACTTGCAAGACAGGCAGATTCTCAAGAAGGTACCATTCCTAGGGATAGAAAGTAATTTTTGCTCTCATTCCTTCTGGAAAACATCCACGTTTTGAGTATATTCCACTTGTTACTGGCACGGAGAACCACCACGCTAGCTGTTGATCAACCCTCCTCAGCCCAGCCTCACTGGTGACAAGGGCTGGGCTCTTAATGTAACTCTAGGAATGAAGCAGACCTTTCACTGCTGGGTCTGTCTAGGCCATTTATGCAAATTGAGCTTGCCCCCTTCCCTCATTTTCCTCTGTTCCTTTTTAAATTTTTTCCCCAGCATTTTGACTCTGGGCATCTGTGTGCACATATATGAATTGTATGCATTGTTTATTGATTGCGAGTTTATATTTGCTCATTACATAGATGTGGTCGTGCCTATGATACCATGTTCTTAAGCAGCTCCAATAGCAGAACACTATAAAAGAAAGAAAATGAGAAAAAGTAAAATGTAGTATAGCTTGATGACTCAAAACCTGGTCTGTTTGGTCCAACTGTGAGCCGAACTTCAAGTTTTAGATGCATGATCTTGGACAATTTGCTACTCTCTCTGTGCCTCATTCCCTCATCTATAAAATGGGTATAATTTAAGTGTTTGCCATCTTTCCAACATGATTGTAAGGTTGGGAAAGGATAATATATAAAAAGTGCTGAGCATATTGCCTAATAGGTAGTTAATTCTGAATAAACGTTAGTTATTGTTATTCAAAGATGTATCTCAAGAATGATTTAATTTTGTCCTGAAACATTTCCTGCTCTAAATCAGTCTTCTTTTTTGTTTAGGTTCCATTTTTTGGGCGGAGAATGCATCACACTTGTCCATGTCTGCCAGGCTTGGCCTGTTTACGGACTTCATTTAACCGATTTATTTGTTTAGCCCGAAAGTAATCACTTTAGAGTAGAAACTTTAAATGTGAATAACCACATGATGTCTGTAAAGTCTTACTTGTGATTGTGCCAAACAAATAATATGCCAGAAAGAAATGCTCTTGCTTCCTCAACTTTCTAAGTAACATTTTTATCTTTGATTTTTAAATGATGGGTTTTTGTTTTTGTTTTTGTTTTTTTTTTTTTTTTTTTTTTTTTTTACTGAAAGGGAATTTTAATTTTGGATAGAAATATAAAGTATAAGCCATTATGGAACTGGTTCTCATTTCCCTGTTTGTGTTTTGGTTTGGCTTTTTGTGTTTGGCTTTTTTAATGTCAGTAACTTACCCATTTTCCCAAAAATGAGGAACATAAGAATTTGGTATTTAGTTACAGAAACATTTTTTTTCCTCACCTCCCCATCTGTGCCCCACGATGCGTACACACAAACCCTTTGGTCTCTTCCCTCTTACTCCTCGAAGAATGTTAAGGCCCTCACTGTATTCTTCTCCATTTCCCTTCTCTTCTCCAGCATGTTAAAGTAGAGGGTCCGTGTCGTTTGGCTGGCAGAGTCGCTGTCGAGAATCAAGCTTTTGTCCTGATATTTAAACAGTGGAAAGAGTGTGTAGTTGAACTAGACACGCCACCCTCCTCTCCTGCAGTGGAGGCTGGGAGCGCTTCTGGAACTTCTCTAAACTTGTCTGTCCAGTGGACCTCAGCTCTGCTCTTTGGTGTGAGGACACAGGAATGGAAAGCCAAATTAATTTAGTCCAGATTTCTAGATTTGGGGTTTTTTTCCTACATAAAAGACTTCTTTTCCAATACAATATTACATTTATTCCTTTTTCTTTTTATAAAGTTTATTTTTTCAGAAATTCTCCTAGTTGGAGATGTTCTAGGAAGCGTCACTTGAAGAGGAAGCATTGATTTCACTCTGGCATACCACTAGTTACCATTTTTAAATTGGTATTAAATTGTAATTTAAACTTTATTTGTAACCGAAAGGTCTATTATAATGGATCGTCTGACATCCAGCCATTTGTACCTGTATCAATATTGCTGTGTAAAAATTCTGTATCAGAATAATGACAGTACTGTATATCATTTGATTTATTTTAATATTATATCCTTATTTTTGTCACGATCGTTGTCACTTTTTATTACAAGCAGATTTCTATATAGGCCACATCCTAACATGGGCAAAGACTCCAAAGTTGGTAAAACAGCCCTAACAATGTGTGCGTTTTCATTTTACATACAAGAAAGTTCTGCTTCGTATGGATTTTTTAAAGTCGTACAAAAAATAAACAGCGTGAGGTTTTAGAGCATGAAGGAAAATGATGACATGCAAAACTGGTTGTAATCAGGGATGGGCTTGTGGGAATTCACTGTATTGATTCAGCAAATAGTGATGGAGTGTGTCTCGTGGATGGTCAGGCAGGCTGCTAGCCTGTCAGGTCCTAGCCATGCAGTGATGCCACCGTAGACTGGCCTTGAAAAACCCACCACGTATTGTAAATAGATTCAACATCACAAATAAACAACTTATGAAATGTGTTTAACTGATTAAACTTACCCATGCCAACCCTCCAACCATTAAAAAAAAAAAGTTGTTCTTTTTGTACTTGTTTACTCACAGGGCTTACAATTGCACGTCGTGTATAACTTTATCCCTTGGGCTAACATGTCCCATACATGTATGGGATTTTGCTATACTAATTACCATACTTGGTGAGAGAAGTTATTTTTGGTTCAGTTTAGTTGAAACATTCCTCAGTGAGTTTGCTGAAAAAAATTAGACTTCAACAAGTGGAATTATGGGTAAAGAAACAGGCACTTCGGCAACTTTGCTAAATTTGTTTTTGTATAATGTTCGAGACATCCTTTTTCGTAAGTGGTGAAAACTTAATTAGGTCAATCATCCATTTTTCACCTAAGTTAAAAAACATAACCAACTCTTACACAATTTTGGTTTTACATATGCCAACCCAGTTTTTTAAAAATTGCTATGGCTAAAGGTATACCTATTGCCACACCTGAAGGGGTGGACTACATGTACACAGTCAAGAAATTGAATGTGAAGTTTGTATAGAAAATTAAGAACTGTATCCACTGACTCATTACCATCCAAAAAAAGTAGAACTTAGTCATTTGCTACCTTTCCCCTCGGTCATTATTTTTAGTGTATAGTTGTGTTTTGTAATTATTTTTAACTTGTTACCAAAATTAACACTTTTCACATAATTGTTTTTACAAACTTGTAATCATGCTTCTTGGAGGTTCTTTAACACAATTTTATGCAAACCACACTAAGTCTTGTCCAATGAAGGCTATGGTGCTGTTTCTTCCGGCTTTGAGGATGGTCTCACACAGATGTAGGGACTTCACAGACCAGAACTTCTGCAAGGTGAAAGCAAGGTGGGAATTCACACAATAAAAGCTAAGTCAACAGCTTACGCTGATGACAATATTGTGAATGAATTCCATCCATTCTAAGGTGGAAATAGATCTTATTTTGACCAAACCTCAGGAGCAAATTCAAGTGGACCTTTGGATTTCTTTGCAAATATTGACTTCTGTGAAAACTGTCATTTCTGACTTTGTTTATTCTTTTATCCAAAACATTTTTTTTTTTTTACCATAGAAAAGTTTATGCCAAAACTACTTCCTTACATACCCTCCTCTCTCTGAGGACCTTCATCCTTCCCAGCATCTCAATACAGTTCTTCTGTTAGAGTCTTACAAATCCCTACAAATCCCAGTGGTAGATCAAACACATAAACCAGTTTTCCTCTTCATTGGCTTTAATATCAGAAATCTCACTCCACTCTTTTCTAGCTTCACTTTTTAGAAAATTCAAGTTGGGGCATTTTAATTTTAAACACAGGACATTGTTGGTATTTGGTGAGGGTCACTGTAAAATTCACTGGGAACCTTTTATGATCTTTGTCTTCACGTTGCCGTGTACTTCAGATAATATCCTCAGAATTAACATTCCTTTCATTCTCTGATGTCTCCCACTAATTTGTTAATGCTCAGTACTCCCTTTTGAATTAAAGAGAATTGTATTTCTTTCAGTATATCCAAAAATTTTAACCGACAAAAATTGTATATAGTACACCACATGATGTTTTGAAATATGTATACATTGTGGAATGGCTAAGTTGAGCGGATTAACATATATATTACCTCACATACTTATAATTTTTTGTAGCAAGAACACTTAAAACTCTCTTAGTGATTTTCAAGTGTGTAATATTAACTATAGCCACCATGTAGTATAACAATCTCCAGAATTTTTTAATGTATTCTGAAGATGAAAATCTTTAACAATGTGATCTTTAAATAAACTTCATTACCCCCACCTATATATATAAGTAATAAAGTTTTTGGGGGGTAATAAAGATATATATATTTCAGAGTACACATTTCCCAAAATTAGAGGTGCAATTAATATGCTGTTCTTGAAGTACCATTCCCATTTTTTCCATCACCCACCACCCTCAGAGATTCCGATTTGACTTGTCTGGGATGAGGCCCAGGTGTTGGGAATTTTTTTAGAGCTTTCTGATTAATTCTAAGGTGCACCTATGGTTGAGAGCCACTGAGACCAAATAAAAGACTATACTTCTATGGAAAAATTACTGCTACACTGTGACACTATTTGATGAGCATCTTTCTAGTTGAATTAGAAGTGAGGAGAGTAGCTAAACGTCTTTGTCTTTTCTTGCCACCCTAAAAACTTCCCATCATCCTCAGTATAAATGACTCCGTTTCCTTTCATGCCAGAGGGAGACTCACAGAAGGGTCCCACTTGAGAATCTGAGTGGCTGTTACACAGCCCACTTGAAGAATTCATACAGTTTCCTAGAGTTAGGTAGGGAAGCAGGCCCTGTCCAGCCTGGCTGGCTCCGTAGCTCCCTTGGTTTCAAGAGCTCTCACATCCTCTAGTGCACCCAGGTGACCCAGTTCCTGAACTCCCCAGCAAGTACTCCCTTCTCCCAGCCCTTTCCCCATACGTCTCAGCGTTTCATTCTTTTTTACGGGATCCATAAATCATCGAAATGCTTTAGAAAGTCCAAGTTTGCACAACACTGTAGCTGAATAAATCAGGCTAGTAAGCATTTCGATAAAATGTATATATATGTGACAAAAGATTAAAAGCAAGAAAGTGGAAAATTGTAGCGTGGACAACACGATAACATGATTACTGGCAACAAAATGCACAGGATAATCTATATCATGTGCATATCGAGGATGTATCCTTGTGCCCACGTGGGGATTCCCTCACCATGAAGCCTGGAACACCCACTCATGCAGTTGTGCCAGCCGGGCAGAGCGACAGCCTGCCCCATGGAGCGACAGCTGTGTGTGGCACACAGTTGCAGGCACTCTCCCACGTTAGTCCCGGGTTTCTCCACCTTGACACTGGTGACTTTCTGGGCCATATGATTTTTTGTTGTGGAGGCCTCTCCTGTGCATATTTAGCAGCAATCTGGCCATTACTCACCAGGTACCAGTAACACTCTCCAGTTGTGACAACCAAAAATGTCTTTAGACATTGCCAAACATCCTGTGGGGGTCGCGGGTGGGGATAAATAAGCTTTTTTTGTGTCTGTTGAACATCATTTCATGAAAATTTTTTATTTCAGTATCAAAAGTTGAAAAGATGATATTCAAAAAACTATACCTCCAAATGGGACTTTGCAAAATCAATATCCTAAAAAACAAACAAAATATATTTGCGTCCAAAGTAGTGGAAAGGTAAACATTTGATACAGTTTATACATTCATTCAAAGAAATGTCAGTTATCTCTTAACTCTATAGTTTACTGTGTTTCAAGAAGAAATTTTTAGTCACTTTAAAATAAAGCTTAAGGCTCAGATATAATAAAATTAATTCGAGCATAGATGAATGATTCCACGTCTTTGGAGTGCACTTGTAAGCAAATTTCCACATTGTTTAAATCCGAATTTTCATTATCTTGATTAAAATGTGATATAGTTTATGAAAAATGTTT